TCGAAGAAATATCTCATCAGAGCTAGTTGAACCGGATTATGCAGTGCATCAATGTACATAATGACATACTATTTTTTGTCGCTATTTGACGTTCAACGAATGATCCAAAGGGAGAAAAATGAAAGAGCCGTTTCCCACGGAAAGGTCCTACATATGCCGAGCATCTTTTCGCCCTCGGTTTCTTAGGAGGAAGGAACAAGATCTTTCGATGGCGATGATTCCCACAGGAGATCGTCCGGAAGTTCACAGGCTGTGGATGAAAGCAAAGCAGTCTCTGGGCCAGCATGTGGGAATGTTCTAACTTCCAGTGAGAAACCACCACCTGACCCCGTTCCAGGTGGCGCACCTGTTTATGGCCCGTGCTACACCCCTTCGCCGTATGCGATTAATAGAACGACCCTCATTTCTAAACCGATAGAACAAAATTATCATTGATAAAGCAAAAATAGCAATTTTTATGATCATTGGTGTCATTAAAGAATGTCTTGATTACACAGAGAAAAGTTCATTCGAAATTAAATCAGTTTTGTTCCAGATAGATTAATCTTGGCCCAACAAGATAAAGGAAGATATGCAGATAAAATTTTATGTTTTGCGTTTATTAGATGTTCAGTGGTTTTTCTACTTATTAACACAACACAGTTTCTTTTTAAAAAAATATTATGATAAATGGTTTCGGTTCGACCGAAAGAGTTCATTTATACTTAGCGTGCAAAACATCAGGCCGTTGGGTAGACGATTTCTATGAAATTTTGTACAAGAGTTCGATCCAATGGTTATTGGAATGGAAAGGAATCCAATGGTTATCTTGGTTGCTGTGGATGTATTTCAAAATGATCATATAACTAAGTCGATTTGTTTTTTACAAAAAAATATGAAAATAACGAAGTCACGATTACTCAAGTGGTCGAGTAGCGGCGTATCAAGCCGAAGGTCGTGTGTTCGAATCCCTCTCGTGACACTGACTTTTTTTATCTCAACTTAAAGCCTTAATTAATTGAATGAGATTAATTGGTCAAGCGGACCACGAAAAATGCAAATAACGTTGAAGTTTGTATTAAATGAGAGTAGGTATATATGAATAAAATTACAACGAAAAGAAACTTTCAGAAAAGTTAACGTTTATTTTAAAAAATTAGATTCTTTCTAAGCACTCTTTAAAGTTCTTAAATACGAAATTTTATAGCCAATAAAAAAATAGACATTTTTGATGATCCGGAGACAAAGTTGATTGATCCATATAGTATCAAATTTCAAAATTATGACAATCGTTGGATAGCTGGATTATTCTACATTCGGCTTAATTAAACAGCAATTTATTAAACCTTACAAATATGAGGTTTATCTTTTTATTCAATCGTGGCTTAAATTGTCAAGCCAAATTGAAGGGGGCGAGCAAAGTTTTTAGCATTAAATAATTATTGTTTAAATAAAAGGTTTTAATGGTCGTACAAAATTATAAATATTGAATTTCTGATTAACTTTAATTGGGATAAATACAGTTTTACTTCTGTATTAATAATTATTGATATTCACTTGAGAAGGCTAAGGTCGTAGGATCACCGATTTTAATTAAACCCTTTAACTATGCTAGGTCAGAAAATATTACCCACAACTCCGAGCGGTTTTACCAGTGCCAGGTATATCAGTCAATTTGTTTTTTTACGCAGAATTAAAAAAAATAGATGATATGAAAAGAGATTAGTTATTTAAAAAATTATAAAAACCCAAGCACACTTTCATTAAAGTAAGCCTAAAATGTTTAACAACTAGGATTTTTTAAGAACGCTTGAAAGCACTCAAAAAGTAAAAACGAATTTCTAAAGCAAACGAAAAATAGACGTTTTGTAACTGGATCAGCTGGGGGCAATTTTTTCTCCAAAGTCCGATGATGAATTTAAAAATTTGTAACCCCAGAATATAAATGCAGAAACTACATTTTTGCCCAAATCTGTAGGAAAATGCTTGAGACTTGAGAGAAAAATCATGGGAAAAAGTGTGGCATTGTGTTGGGTGAAAGGGCATGCAGGCTTATGGCAAAATGAAACGGTGGACGCACTTGCAAAGGAGGCTGCAACATCAGGTCCAACCCTTGACATTAAAATTCCTAAAGCTGATGGGAAAAACTTTTTTGAAAAGTTTTGTAGAAATCTATGGCAAGAATACAACACATCAAATGTTGGTAATTATTACAGGTCACTGTTCCCTGAGCTCAAGAAAAAAACCATGGTTTTCGGAAGGCGATAGCCCAGAAGCAATGTCAAAGGAGTTCTATTCTACTATTTTTAGACCGAAGACAAATCATAGCCTATGGGGTAGCTACAAGAAGAGAATCGTTTTGGCATCGTCTCCGAACTGTCCCACTTGCGATTGCCCTTTAAATCCTTCCCACGTAAGTTTTGAATGTCCAGAATATGAAAATGAAAGAGACAAACTGCTAAAAAATCTGAGCAAATTCCCAAACATTTCCAAACCAATAAACTTAGAATCTGTCCTAATAAGCAACAATCCATCAGCTTTCAACATAATCTATGGATTTCTAAAGTCGATAAACGTTTCTTTTTTCAACCATGAAAATTTAGAAGATGAGAAGATGATGGAGCTGAATGAGTGATGTGGGCGCGCGGCGGGGACATGGCCCTGGTCAGCCGATCACGCTCGACAGTAAAATGAAAATAGAAAACTTCATTATGCCAGCGTAAACCCCCCCCCCCAAAAAAAAAAAAAAAAAAAAAAAATTGTGCCCTTACGTGCAGTTTATAAAATTCTGAAGCCTTGTAAAAGTTTCTTGTCGATGGGTGGAGTCGATTAAAAGTTATGACCTTTATGATATTTTAAAAACATCAGTCATTCGGGAGGTAAAAATTTTGAGGAAAGAAATTATTTTGATTGTCCCAAAAGTTTTTATTCAGGCGTTTTGTGTTTTAAGAAAGGGATATTTCTTTCTTGTTGAAAACCTTTCTCATTTGTTACACCCTTGGTGACTATAAAATTGTATAATTGGGAGTACATTGAAACATTATGACCGAGCGACGTATCCAAACACCCAAAAAACCAGGAATACAAGTTTTTGTGAAAATCAAAAAAATATTTTAACTCAAATTGATCACTTGTTTATTTCATTCTTTATCCACCTGTATTCCCACCGAAAATCACAAAAATACTGATAAATCTGAAACAACCTATCCACGGAAAACTTTAGAACAATTTATATATCTTATAAACTGCATGTAATGGCATAAACTTACCATCATAAATGAATCGGTACCGGAGATATAAAATAAAGCGTTTGGGGAGTTTTTCTTGATACAATTCTTTTTTCCTCACTTATAAAGACAAAAATTCTAAACGTTGTTAACATAGAATGATAAAAGAAAGCTTTCACAGCTTACCAACGGTGCTAAAAATCACAGAAATGGTGATAACAAGTATAACTGATCATACATAAACCTTTGCAAGCATTTAAAACTGTATAAGATACACGTAAAGACACAGACTTTGTTTCCTTAAAATAATGCGAATCAAAGATATCACATAAACCTGAACACCCTCTAAGACCCATAATTTCATTTGTAAACTCACCCACATATAACATGACAAAATACCTAACCAACATACTCAAAAACATCACAGATAACACATATAATGAAAATGATTCATTTCATTTCATTAATAACATTAATAATATCCACATCCCCTCACACTACTCCCTAGATGTTTCATCATTGTTTACCAACATCCCAATAGACACAACACTGAACATTATTAAAGATAAATGGCCCAACATAACACCACACACAACTCTATCAAAGAACACGTTCGTAACAATGATCCGACACTGCTATGTTAACGGATATTTTACATACGACAATCACTTTTACAAACAACTTTTTGGTATAGCCATGGGTAGCAACCTAGGCCCGATACTGGCAGACATAATCATGACACATCTACTAAATGTGTCATACCACAACTTCCTTTCACATTACCCTTCGTCACTAAATACGTAGATGATATATTGACAGCAGTTCCCACAGATCAAATTCAAACTACATTAGATACATACAATAGCTTTCACCCACGCCTACAATTTACACATGAAATCAAAAACAACAAAAAATACCATTTTTAGATACACTCATAATAAAACAACCAGATGGCACATTAATCACAGATTGGTACAAAAAACCAAGAAACACAGATCGCTACCTCAACTTTAAATCTCACCATCCTCTTCATACAATAATAAACACGGCCAAAGGGTTACTTCACAGAATGATTGCCCTGAGCCATGAATCATTTCACCACAAGAACANATAAAAGATCGAAACGTTGGCACGATAAAGAAAATGTTTTTCTGAAACCTACATCACACCCGACCGCATCTCACGATATCTGAATAACTAGATATCACATAAAATTTCAAAAGAGCTTTTGATTTCATCCAATTTTTTCTCCCTAAAAGCATATAAAATCTAACATTGTTGGCACAGATTAAATAAGGAAACATTCAGCTTCCAAACTTTGTCAAAATGTTGAATTTGAATGAACTCCAGCGGAATTTGTTTTCGTTTTTTGTAATATTTTATATGACTAATCTCATTCAATAAAAATCTTCATATTATTTTCTCATACTTCTTAATAAAATAAATCAAGTGGTGTACCTTGACAAAGTACATGCAGGAAATAGCAGAAAATCGAACGTTAGTTGAATTTGGCGACCTGAGGTTTTCCTAGAGATAGGAATTAGATTTTTACTGAATTTAACCATTACGATCTCCATACATTAACTGGAGGAAGAGAAAATGACATCCAACGGGGCAATTTAGCACGGGGTCAGATTCTCTTTGTGTGAGAGCATCAGACGAACGTAAATACAGGCAGAGAAATAAGTCCTAGGGTGTTGTTCCCAGGGTGTTCTGACTTTTCAACCACTCCCAAGCCGGAAAAATATGCGCTCCTTTATAAAACTGCTCTGGTGTTTTTCATTTTTTTTTCAGTTGATGATGATTGTAATCACAATTCCGGTATGCCGAGGGATTCACATGGCCCACTTCGTTCACACGACTTCATGCAAAGAGAAATGTCAAGGTTGTGGGAAGACAACCGCGACCCTCTGCCTCTGGCTTCTTCCTTTAAATTTCCCACAGCAATAAATCGACTTAAACGTCCCGGCGACTGGATACGAAAGAATTTTGAACCTTTGCAGGGTGGGGGAGCTTAATGAAGTAGGTAATTTCTCCTTTGATTTAATAAAAAAGCTCAATTGATCAAATATCAGAAAACTTAAAACGAGATAACTCTCTGACACAAGATCAACAACTGTCACATTAATTCACAATTTAAAATTAATATAGCATAACTATTAAAAATTTTGTCTAATGGTATAATGATGATATAAATGATATGCCATAAAATGAACCATCATCAATTGTATTTCGTGGTCACTACGTTAAAGCCCTATTTGAGAACTAAATTTTTTGATCGAGCGACATATCAAAGTACGTAAACAATTCTTTTTGCAAGAAACAATATCAATATTTGTTTTTTTGCACTACAAAAATACCCTGAATGTATACAATGTTTTGGGTAAATAATATTTTCTCAGCTTGTTCGCCTCCGATTTTTATCCTCGAAAATCACAAAAATGGTGATAACTTGAAACGATTAAACCTACACACGGAAAACACTTTACGTGGGATTAGTAGGTAAATGCCAGGATTAAAGGTGTGTGAGCGAGAGAAAGAGGAGGTAGCCGAAAATAAGACAGAAAATTATACTCAACTTTATTTGATTTTGTAATACAAGAAAAGAGAGCTGATGGAGAAAAATAACTTAAGATAGAGAGGAGTAATGAGAGGGAGTAAGAGAATACAAAATAATTTATCAGGTTATTTTACTTTATTAATGACGGTCAAAATGTAAAAAAATCAGTCATTTCTAAGTTCAAAAACAGTTCCTATCCTTATCGTTAGCGTATTTGGATTGTAAATTTTACAAATTAAAAAAGAAAAAAAAAATCATTTCCTTTTCTATTTATGGGTACACCTCATCGGCTTATAGTTGTGTCAGGGTGTCAGGTGAAAATATAGTTTTAAACAATACAATATGGACAAAATACCACTTACTATTTTAAACAATCCCGATTGTTTTTTATAGCGTTATTAATTCATTATAGACGAAAAAAATTGTGGCAATGACAATGGTCCGCGTCTAATACGAGATGAGTTTGTCAGGGTAGTGTCTTGGGACCACTACTTTATCTAATTTACAGTCTTCCCGAATGCTCAATTTCTAAATTGAAAACTGTCACTATTTTATGTAAATTTTGAAGCCTGGAATTTATTTCAAAACGATACATAAAAAGGCGATAATATCGAATTCAAGTTAAATCACAAAATATTATGATTTTCCTCCTGTTTAATGTGAAGTCATAGATGCGTTTGTTTATAAAAACTGTCGGAATTAATTTTCAAATACGTCGTCGTCGGGGGAGAATTTGACAATACGACCCGAACGACGGGACTTCACGAATTACACTGATGTCTGTATTGTATTGTATTGTAGAGGGCTTTTTATATGCCCTTCTGAAGGAAGGGGGGGGCATTCTGAGTTACCCTCCCCCTGAGTTACTGGGTAGAGTTAAACGATGGATGTTTAAAATAAAAATAAAATAAATCGCTAGATCACATCAAAAGAAAGAAAAAGTTATTTCCCAATAAAAATAATTAATAAATAATTAATAACTACAATTCTGCCCAATCAAGTTTCCAACATTGAGCTTATTAGGTAACAGGTCATGACATTAATGCTGTTTGAGCATTTGCCCTCTTCACTGCTGGGTTAGGGTTATAATTAAGGATTGAGCAAGACACTTGACGCCTTCCATTTATGTGAATTTTGGGCGGAATATAAACAATATACAGTCGAGCTGTCTTCTCCTTTCCCAACTTATAACCCTGATCATTAAAAAAGGCAAATTCCTGAAAAAAAGCAGATGAAAGAAATTAGAAAGTGCCTTAAATAAATCGCCGGTTTACACTAAAAGAACAGTCAGTTTTCAACAACAAAAAATAGTAATATATTTCTGCACAACCAAGTTTCCAACGTTGCGCTTATATTATCCTACTTCACCTATTATCTCTGACCACTGAAAATCGTAAAATGCTGAAATAAGCCTCTCAGAGCGACCACAACATCCTGATCATCACATTTGATATTGTCAGTACGTTAAATTCAGCCGAATAAAGGGTTTTTATTTATTCTTGATTTTGTCAATTTCGGCACTGTCGTTTAGCTTAGTTGCCTTCATAATTTCGTGTTAGATGAAATTCAAATTAGCATTTTAGATTTAAAAACATAAAAAAGAAAAATGGCAAGTTATTCTACAAACCAAAGTTCGAACTTACTAGCTTATCTATCTACTTTTTCTCTTCTTTTCAGTGTTTACTGTCCGTATTGATGTTACAGTGTTCCTGATAACTGATTTCATTTTCGTGTAGTATTTTTATCAGTTTTGACATTGCTTAGGAAAATTGCTTTTGCATTTTCTGTTATTTTCTAATCGAGCGGGGTCCGATAAATTTCAACTTTTAATTTTCTAATAAACACGATGATTTTTTTTAATTTTCTCCAGAATTCGTGGCGTGGCGGTCACTGGGAATAATGTTTGGGCGCTTATCCGGTGCGTTAGGGACAAAACACACGCATTCAGATTTGGCTCAAGTGCAAATGAATTAATTGTGCGATTTCCGCCTTTTCGCGTTGAATCCGGCTCAGCTCCTGCTTGCAAAGATGGGAGAAGAGCTGGCTTAGCCTAATCCCTTGAACGGAACATTGTAAATCGTTGATCTCTTTTTCCGGAAGGACTTTCATTTTTTATTATTTCTCAAGTTATCTTTATTTATTTACTTTTATTTTAAAGGTACAAATAGGACAACCCTTACATGTATATATATTAGAAATATATTAAGTTTTATAAACATAGTAAAATAATAATAACATATAATAAAATAGGCAAAACAATAATATATTCTTTAAAATATTAATTATTTATAATCAAATGATGAAACCTCATTACGAAAGAAAAGTAGGAAGAGAAAAAAAAGGAAACGGGAAAAAGAAAAGGAGTATTACATGACTTTTTAAAAACTCAGATGAACCTGAAACAAGTCCCAGGGAAGCAAATTCTATAGTCTTGACCCAGCAATTCTGAAGGATAAGTCTAAAGGTTTGGATGAATGTGGAAGATTTTGGATAAATTAATAATATAAGGACATTTATGTATTTGGTTTAATTTTAAATATAACTCTAAGTACAACTAAAACTCTAAGTTTTTGTTCAGAATGTTAAGGCTGTTGAAATATGAATATCATAACAGTATCTAATGCAGGAATGATAAGCAATTTGAGGGAATGAGCACATTGGGTGTCTAAGGAAAGTGAAAAAATAGAGCTACAGTAAGAGAATAAAGGAATTATTAAGGATTTAATAAGGAGAACTCTTGTTTTCTATAGAGTGAGAAAGCTAAGAGGTTGAAGAGAATGGATGCTTGAGTAGATCTTTTTAATAATACAGCTTACATGGTCACGTCTAAGCTTAGAGTTAACAAAAATGTCAAGATTTTTAAATTTAGGACAAAAATTTATAGGGGTATTTAAATCCTGATATGAGGATGGGATAGGCAATCTGTACTAATGAGTTTATTGGAAATTAATAAGGACTGGGGTTTGTTAGGGTTTAAAAGAATGCCTCCGGTTGAGAGGATAAAGATTGTGGACGAGTAGAGAGATAGCATCAGAGATGTTGCTTGTAGGATATTGAATATAAAGCTGAGTGCATTCAGCATAAAGATAAAATTGGGAGAAATTAAGAACTAATGGAAGAGCATTTAGAAACATGGAAAAGAAAAAAGGTCCATGAATAGAGCTTGGGGTACACCAGCTAAAATTGAGAAAGAAGAGATTTCATGACTATTATCTACTTTTGTACATCTACTATAGTCTATATATTTAATATTTAAGGACTTCTAATATTGAAAACTGTCTGTTCTAGAACGTTATCTATGGTGGAAATTGGTTTCTGCTATGGTACCTCATACAACTAATGATCTAAGATCTCTTAAAGATGATCTTTATGAAGCTCTCTTCAAGAAGCAAAGAGTGACAAGGTATACTAAAAACAATTATTGTTATTTCATGGTAACAGATATCAATAATGAAGTCAAATGATTTTTTTTTCTTTTTTCAGAACCCACAAATGCGTAAGATATGTGAAAATGTTTTTCAACATGGCCATCAGCTACAAGTTTTCAAAGATGTACGATCTCAAAGATACTATTGAAAAAGTGAGTTTTTCTTTTGAAAATTCCAAACATAAAGAGAAATCTAAATTACAAATAAAAAGTTTGTACTAAAAAATCAGGGACATTGAATCAAGACTTGACAATTGATTTAGAACGGACAGGTTATAGATCTCGTTCCTCCATCATCTTTAAAATTCTTTATGTTTGAAACAATAAGTTTCATTCAGTTTTAAAGTCCCATGGTCTACCAGGTTTAAATACATCGGTGTTCACATGGACAGACAATAAACTAAATTTGAGCTTCCATGTTAAGCCAAATTGTTCTAGCAGTAATAATACTACATTAATTATTATTTAGGTTTTAGAAAAACATTTTCTTTATCATGCCAATGTTTTGATCTGAAGATGATCTCAATAAAGATCGAAACGTTGGCACAATAAAGAAAATGATTTTCTAAAACATACGTCACACCAGACCCCATGTCACGATCTTCAAATAATCATTGGCTAACAGTCAGTCACTAAACACCACACATTACATTAATTGTTAATTTTATGTTACTTTGCATTTATTTGAATTTGTAATAAAATAGGCCCCGATGATGACACTATAAAGTGTCAAAAGGTCGGTGAATCCAGCATTTAGTCTTTTTTTCACATGCATGACCTCTACAAAGATTGGAACCATACATAAGAATATTACTGCTTTGGGGAATTCTGTAATAGTCAGAATGTTTACGAATTATGGTCAAACAGTGTACAACACCTTAAATTAACCCAAATTTTCAATTAGAATCATCATAAGTTTAAGTCAATATATAATAACAATAACTATAGCATTTGGCCATTTTGCAAAATGTTTAGGCAGTTGTCATTTTAAATTAAATGGTCATAAATAAGCATATTTTTGATATGTAGTTAATAATATATGATCATCCAGTGTTTTTGTTGTTTTGTGAGTTGCTTTAGCATTTTGCCATCTTCAGTGGCTCGTTAGGATTTGGGCAAGCCTCATTCCAATGTGAATGTACAGAAAAGCTAGCTGTTTTCCGCAGAAATAAGTAAATCAGGGTAATAAAAGGCCAATATGTTTCTTCCAGGTGGTGAATGATGGAGATATGCATCTAGAATGATTCTAACTAAAATGTTTATCACCCATGTTCAGAAAACTATGTACTGACTATGTAAAAGTGTGTACAATTATTTTATGTTACAGATTAATTGGATGTTACAAGATATTAAGAATTCGTTTAAATGGCTCGTTTCTTCCTTCAGCTGGATGGACGATTCGACGAAAAGGAATGCTCAGAAAAAAGCCACCGCGATAAAAAGTTTCATCGGTTACCCTACTTGGATTTCTAAAAAGGGGGAGATCGATTTAGCTTATAAAGATGTACTTAATTGACTACATTTCCAACCAGACCACCAAACAAAAATTCAATATAAATTGTTACAGATTGAGATTGTAGACGGTCAGTTCCTTCAGTCTATGGTCAGTATAAAAAGTGTAGAAGTGAAGAATATCCTGAAACAAGTGGGGCTGCCAAGTGAAAACAAGACTCATGAGTATGTCTTAATCTATGTTAAGCCGACTTGATTTAATTTGTTTATTTCATAGATGGATTTCAGATCCAATGGAGGTAAATGCATTTTATGGCAGAGAATCAAATGCAATAGGTAATTTTTTCAATTATAAATTCTAAATTTGACCCATCTTTATTACACCATTTATTACCACACTGCATATTTATTAGAATAAAAATCTTTATTTAATAATTAAATTATAAACATTTCATGCAGCGATACCAGCAGGAATTTTGCAAGCTCCATTCTATTATTTGGGGCTTGAGTAAGTAAATATAGTAATAAACTAAGAACATTTTTAAATTGTGTATAAAATTAATATTCAAAATAACGTTATTCATAATTGTTATATGTCTGATCTTCATTGATTCTACAGGTCATTAAATTATGGCGCAATAGGTACCATTCTAGGACATGAACTTACTCACGCATTTGATATAGAAGGTTGATACATCTCGAGAAAATAAATATAAATTTACCATAAAATATTTCTTGTTTTTGTTGTTTGTTTAAAGGCAAAGATTACGACAGCAACGGCCTAAAAATTTCTTGGTGGGATGAAGTAATGATGAAAGAATATAACAAAAGGGCCCAATGTTTTGTGAACCAATACAGCAAATTCAGTGTTTCAAAGGACAACAGGGTAATTAATATTAATATATTAATTAAGTGGCTTAGTACAATATGATTCTTGCCATACTAGCTAGTAAAGTAATTCTTATAGTCCATGAGGGCTTAATGATTAACTATTCGTTGGTTGTCGCAATAGGAGATGGTTTATTTAACGAGACCTGTTTGATTGTAAAAATAATTGTTAGGACAATACTACACTGCTAAACATTAAAGGGGATTAAAAGGGAGATATTGTGCACATCCAGCAAATATTTAGACATATGATGAGATACTGAAATGCCCTTTATGTTGAAATAGTTGCAATTTCCAGTCCGTCTAGTAGTTCCTATGACACAAGTACAAAGTTTTGAGAAAATAGGTTTGATTATAAAATTCAAAAAACACAATATTTACAACTGGACAGTTATATGTAGCACTGTTGAGGTGTAAAACAAAGATGGGCATTAAAATAGAATACAAATTAAAAGAAAAATGCATAGAAAATATTGTAAAACAGAATTTTGATGATAATTGCAATATGAGAATTTTGCTAGATCAAAGTGAGTTTCTCACAAAATAGAAAATCACAATGTTGAAATTCATCTGACATTCCAAAGCAGTGAGCTGTGAGGTTTGACTAATCAAAAACAAAGAATTTTTTTAAAATTATATATAAATAAGAGAAAAGTTTTGCATTTTCTAAGAATGTTAATGTCATCTTTGCAGTTGAATGGATCACTGACCCTTGCTGAGAACATTGCAGACAATGGTGGCGTGAGGGAAGCATACCACGCTTACAAAAGATTTGTCGAAAGGAATGGCGAGGAGCCTTTACTCCCTGGATTAGATCATTATTCTCATGATCAACTTTTCTTCCTCGCTTATGCCAACGTGAGTTAAATGTTTTCAATTAATTCAAAAATTCACAATTGCAAACTTCCTCAGGTATGGTGTGAAAAAACTAGTATCGAGGATGATGTATTATCCTTGAGCGATGTACACAGCCCTAACAAATTTCGTGTCATTGGCACTTTGAGCAACTTGAGAGCATTTTCTGAAGTCTGGAACTGCCCCTCGAATTCCAAAATGAATCCAAATGGCAAGTGTGTACTTTGGTAATGTTGGCTAATATTTAATACCATGCTGTTTGCCTTCAAGGGAAATTTATTATTTATTAATCTGTGATAAAAATATATTTATAGTTTAAGTTAGGGGGGACCAAGAATAATGTTATTTTAAACCGAGGGTTAAACTATTTTTTGAGCTTGATATACAGTTGTCATAAAATTCACTTGCTAAGTGCCTTTTACTGTTAATTTAACAAACTTGGATTGTTAAAACATTGTACCTTTTATCAAATGTAGTAAAAACTGTTTTACTGAATGTGTCTTCTAATACACATTGATTTGTTCACAACATAATTGTTTTTGTCACTTATTTCTATTCACTTATTAATAAAATAAGCCCATATCATTTTTCTAAAGATAAATTCAATAAAAATTTTATACTTGTAAACAATAATGAACAATGTACGAATCATTTTGTTCGACTACCTGTTATCATCTTCCATATAATTTTGTAATTTAGTCCTTACAGAACTTCCCAGGATTATGGGAAATTCTTTATTCCCCTTGCAATTAGGACACTGGGTCATTTTTGGCCAATTGCTGACTTTAATCAGTCCAATTGTGTGCGTTATACACTAGAATTAAAGGTTGAGCAGAAGTTGTAGTAAAGCATTCTCCTTCTATTTACACCAAATGCACCACTTTCCTTTCTTGGGATGTAATCCAGCTTTTGGAGTTATCAACGTCTTCCATCCAAAATCTTCCATCAATTTTTTTAAGTTGTTTGCATTGCTTTTTAAGATCAGACATGGAGATGCGGTCCAATAAATCCATCTGTTACATGTGATGAACTGATACATCTAGCAGTCTTCAAATTCATTGAAACGTTTGATGAAATATGTCAATGTCTTTGCAATGTCTCGTCATTGAATGTGCATTATTTCTACAAACGCTTGAATTGGATCGTCGTCAATGATTGAAAGACAATCAGAGCGCTTCCTTCTTCCAAATCAAAATTTCTACTTCTGAATCACTTACGGATGGTGTTTTTTCCCAAAATGTTCACCACGTACAAATTTTCCTAACAGTGTAGACTGCAGTTTGGATCGTCAGTGGTTGATGCAGTCCGTCCAAAAAAAAAAAAAATATAGTTCAGGATGATGACAAATCTCTCACGAAAGAATGTTAAATAAAAGCATAATTATACAGAATTAATTGTTTAGAAAATAATATTCATAAACATATTTGCTTTTGGAACTCTTTATTGAATGAATAAAGTTTGACAGTTACAAATAAAGGAACTTTTAAAATTCAAGATTAATTAATTATAGTTGATTACAGACTAATTATTTTACTAAACCATTACAGAACAATTGACGCACAATAGAACAAAAATTATGAAAAAGATTATCGACTGTGTACAAAATAAAAAAATAACTTTTTCAAGACATTAAATATAATAAATATTGTAAAATTGGCTAATAAATTATCAATAAGATTAAAGATAAAATAGCTACAAATTGATTATTGACAATCAAAAAATTTCTAACAAAAATAAAATACGAATATAAATATTTGGCATTGTTACAGAATAGAATAGTTACTTTGTTGCCTTGTCAGTCCCTTTGCATCTAGCTTCAAGCACATTCACAGCAAGGTGGATTAAATACAAACCATTCCTCATCGATGATAATACTGATGATATGACCTCGGGTTTTTCCGTTATGATGAAAACATCTGCAAAAAGAACAACAATAAAAATAAAAAGAGATTTCAACTCAACTATTCAACCTTGAATAGGAGCATCGCGTGTTGTGGGAACTGAAGGACATCCTACCCAACTATTAATCCTAAAATCGTACCAATTTGACCGTTATTTCAAAGTTAAGACAGGTCACAGTGATTTCCCCTTTCTATCTCAAGTTGGGTCCCACAAGGAAGCTTTCTAGGACCTCTCTTTTTCATGATATATAATACTGCTAATCCTCTCCACTTTAGCTGGTGATCCCATTACCACATTAAGAAATTTTCAAAACAATTTGACTTCACATACAACAATAAAAAAAGTGGACAATTTAAATAAATGTAATAAAGAGCCAATATTTTAATGGATTACACTACCTCTTATTTAATTAATGGAATTGGATTACACCCCCTTCACAAACATACGACTTCACACAGATAAATGTCTTACTTGGAATCTGCACAAAAGAGGCTCTTTGGACAAGGTGGATAGTTATGGATGGGTGTCAAGGAGTGTAGCCATCTAGCAAATGATTGGGAACCACCCAAACTCACACACAGTCAACTTGTATGTACAGGCAGGTGGATAGCAGGCACAAAAGACCAACTCGGCATTAGTTGCCTAGTTAAGCCAACTGAGTTCACCATATAAAGCGTTGCAATTGCAAGTTTCAATATGGAACAATCCATTGAAGAAATTCAATTTAGACCTATGGTGTGGGACATGAATTGTGAGGAGTATAGCTAAAAAATTAAAAATAGTAAAACTTAAACAAAGTAGCAAAGCATTAGTGAGAAAGTGCCCATTTCAAAATTTTGTAACAATGGATGAACACACTTTACTTCGAGTGGATTTCCTCTGTTTTTGCTTCTTGTCTTGTAGTAGAGTAAACGCAAGCAGTGCTCCTGCTTCCTCAGGCTCTAACAAACATCCTGTTCAGAGAAGATGATTTCACAAGTTGTCTGGTGTGAAACCAGCCAAGGCCATACAACAGTCAACCAGTCAACTTAGTTGAATCAACCAAACTGCCTCATCTGAAAGAGGCCTAAAGCAGGTAACACACCCGATGCAACGCTACCTGTTGCTACCCGACGCACATCCAAAGTCCATTTTTCCATAAAATTGTATTACCCCCGTGCACATCTGCCCGATGCTACGCAACGCTACCCTACCATACGCTTTGTGATCCCCACTGTCCAGATTTTGTCAGGGCGCATCAAGTGCAGTTGAAGACAAAAGAACCGCACACTCATATTTTTATTCAAACTACATGTATTATTGTCGTTATATTAATTACAACATATTTATTTTAATATAAACTAAATTAATGAGATCAAAAATTCATTAGTTTTTATTTAAAAAAAAATTAATGGTTCGGTATAAAATTGGTCAAAACACAGGAATACCATTTTTTGATATAACGAATTTAACTAACAATTTATTACTCGGTTTTGCTCGTAAAATTTAACTAACAATTTATTTCATGGTTTTGCTCGAGTTTCATTTTCGTCGAGTAGGACTCTAATATTTTTTGTAGTTTATTTCCAACTAAGTATATGTTGAAAAAATAAAAATTTTTGTCATTATATTAATTACAGCATTCCTATTTTAATGTAAACCAGATTAAATGAGATCAAAAATTCATAAGTTTTTATAAAAATTATTTAATTATGATGGTTAGGAAGAAAATTTATCAAAACACTGGAATAACTTTATTTAAAACAATTAAGTTTAACAAACAATTTATTACATGGTTGTGCTCATAAAATTTAACTAACAATTTATTACATGTATTTGCTCAAAATAAAACATTAAGAACAAAAGAGACGTTGCAATTGTCGATATTGATTTGAATTTGATGAAGATAATAATTTGTGATACACGCTGTGTGACTGTACGTGGTATGAGCTTGACGTCACATAGATGTGCACACCCTACCAAAACGTGACAAGGCGTCGGGTAGTGTCGCATAGCGTTGCAATTAAGTGTGTTCCCTGCTTAAAACGGTACAAACTTAGCTGACAATCCAAACTTCTACTAAACTACAAAAGGTTACCAGGTTATACCAGGATTCTCAAACCTATGTGAACTTATTGAACTTAGGGGGCTTGTAAAGGTTCAAATCAAAAGTCCTAAGAAAAATAAACCCTCCACTTTATGTCTCAAACCTGACCCTACACTGAGACAAGTTTCGAAATCCAATTATGAAAAAAATCCATCAATCCAAACATCTAAGTACGTTAGTTTAGTTCCATTATCATTGGTGATAATCACCCGTTTAATCAAACGACCACATGATGTATTGGTGACAAAGATAATTGAAACGTAAAAGAACATGCAATTCTTTTTTTTATTAGCCATTATTTATGTGTTCTTTAGGACGCTCACCACTGGGTAAATTCTCCTCATATGTTTATTCAAATATTTGGCTTTGTTCTTACCACTTTTTGCTTCCTAACTACCGAAGGTAGGGAAGTTGAAAAAATTGTTGTCCTTAAAATTAAAATTTCCACTCGCATTTTTTATTTCAGACCTTTCTGAACCAACCATGAATATTATTCCTAACAGATTAAAACCCCTTCGGGGAAAAAGCACTTTCAGGTAGTCACCCCTTGTGATTATGATTATAGTCTGGATGATGACCATCGTAANTATATATATATATTCCTAACAGATTAACATATGCGCAAACACATGCTCAAAATGTGATGAAGCTATACTGCCCACCCACTTGGATTTCACTTTTACCTTCCATATGTACAAATCAATTTAAAAAAATATATTATTGTAGTACATACCTGGGATATCTTTAACCAAATTGCAGCAATAAACATTTAAAATGTTAGTAATGTCGTCGTCTTCAGCCGAAGTCGATGTGACATCGCTTGCCAAAGAACCCCTGAAATGAACATTGTTAATGTCGATCCTGATGTTTATACATTAATCACACCCACCTGCTGGCTTTGGCCAAAGAGACTGCAAGGGTCCACTTGGACTCCCTGATCAACTGGAGCAACGTTTCGGTGTCGCACGGGGACAGAGATTCTCCACTGCTTTCACAACTGCCTGATATTTCTTCTTCAGCTTTTACCAAGTTCTTTTTTATCTTTACAACTTCAGTAGATCTATCTTGGAGCTATTAAAAAAATAATTACATGTGAAAATGAATTTTTTTGTTTGACTGGAAAGTTTTTTTAAACCTGATTTTCATCAGCAGTTGTAGTAAGAATAGTATAAATTTTATTCGCAGACTCAAGGAGCAAAACCAATTGGAAATGCATTTTATACAAGGCCTTTCCCATTTCAATTGCATTAATAAGTTCTGTGTTATCTTGAAGTTTCATGGACACTTTGAAATTTTCAATACACTAAAATACACAAATAATTATTTATAAAAGAAAAATTGACGATTGTTATATTCTAGTTACCTCTCCTGCTAATTCCTTCTTATCTAAGAATGTTTCAATATGCTCCTGAAGCTCCAGCATACTGAATCTGAGCTTTTCTGTCAAACGAGGATTTGCAATTCTATCAGGAGAAAACCACACAATCGGGGGGTCACACTCAGTGCCCAAAACCTCGGCTAGGGTTAGAAAATGTGAACAAATCCCTTCTGCATGAGCCAGTTCGTTAAGAATGTGACAGGCCTCACGTGTGCTCAATAAACTCTTCTTCACAACATCCTGTAAAATTTAAAAAATAAAACTTACACACTTAATTATAAAATGATCGGACTTACTTTGATCACACGATAAAGGAGATGGTAAAGATGGAGCGGTGAAGTTGGAATGTGCGATACCAATGAATGTATGTGAGTACGCCAAGCTTCTTCAGAATCATGCCTTGTAATAGGCCTGAATGATATTGTCGAAAGATTCGGTGAAGCGTTACATGGTGTTAATTCACCGAGATCCCCAGCACTTGAACCACTAATAAAAATTTAAAATAACAAATAAATAGTTTAATAGATTTTTAAATGAATTTAAATAAACCTAGTGTCTGAATGAGTTGTTGAATTGCTCCTTTCTCTTAAAGATAGAGATAGGTTTGTGTACGGAGGCCCTCCTCCTGGTGATGTAGGAGCGAATTCTCCTGGGGCCAACTCATCAAGTGGACTTTCCGATCCAACTTCATCGTCTGAAGATTCTTCAACCGTTTCACCGACACCATGCAACTGTCCAATTATGTCCAATAAATAATAATTCTTAAGTAAATATATTATATTTATATACCTTCCTAGCTGAAAGAACAGGTGTAGTTTCACTGACTGATTCCTCGAGCACTCTCAGTGCAGGGTCTAATTCACCATCACCTTCACTCAACACTCTTCTTCTGACGCCCCAGTTAAAATTATCCGTACTTTCACCCTAAAAAAAGTATTAATTTTAATTTTCTTAACAAAAATCACTTATTGAAATTAGTGCAATTACCTCAACACTTTCGCTTTCATACTCCAAAAAGTCAAAATCTTTAAAAACGCCAAAATGGTCCGGGTTCTGAGATCCTGCTGATAAATCCGGCCCTGAGACTTCTTCGGTAGACGATGCCACACTGCTCTGCCTCTCAAGAACTTCTGAACTTTGTGAGAATATAACCTGACAAATAAAATGGACAGTTTCAAAAGAACTCATGAAAATTTTTCAGGTGCTCTTGAAAATACAACAAACAAGTCAAGATTTTTTTTATATTTCATTTTTATTTTATTACACTTGGTGCATAGGAGTTCGGGTGATGTATAATTACACAATGTACTTTTTATTTATTGCTATATTTGTGAATTGTTTTAGTGCTTAAAGTGTAAGAAGTTACAAGCGATTTATGATTTAGAGTAATTATTTATGGCTCATCCTGAACGCCAACCATTTTTTATTTTTTAGTAAATAATTGAATAGATAAATATCTCCAAATGGAGAATTATCACCTCAAGATTATCAATCATAATCTAATATCATGCCAAAAGTTAAATAAACTAATAATCTACAATTGACTGAAAAATTATGTGATGTCTTACATGCACTGGTGATCTGTTTTAGAAGGGCGAGTAAAAAAGTTTTAAATATGTTTGACCAAGGAGAAATCCTCCTGTGGTCTGCAGGTTGATGAAGCTGTAATTGGGTCATTATTGATCAATTTGGTTTGCAGGGTTGGTATGTCAAATGTGTTTCAACATTTTGCCATCTTCATTATCTCCCAGAGACAACAGTGAGGATGACCAAATTATGTACACATTTACATGAGTTTAATTGTTAATTAATCTTTAAGTTTTAACAATTTACAGTTTAACACCTATGACTTCATCGATCCTTCAAAGCATCCAAACTTGCCAGATATTGAGAATCATGAACTGGAATGGTTCAGAAATGAAAGAAAAGAAAAACGCAAGATGGCACACCCGATGGGAAAAATAGTACCAAATTTCGACTTTTAAATACTTCCCTACAATTAAAACAGAAGGCAAAAGAAAACTGGGTTTTCTTATTTTTACGTAAAATAAAATGCCAACGTGAATGTCGCAGTGTTATCTTTTAAATTACAAAAGAGCTCACACCCTGTTATGCTCAATATGCCAAATGGAAAAATATGTAGGCCCACAATTTCTCTTGCACTCTACAACAAAGAAAAATTAAAAAAACTAAAATTCCTATTCACAAAAAATCCGGAAACCAGACTTTGAAGGACCTTATAAAATAAAGTGCTTCAGTGCCTTTAATACTTTCAGCATGGGCATAAAGCTTAATTTTATGTTGAACTGTTTTGAGCCAAGATTTTAGTTAATTGGTGCAATTTGCAATAGGGATTCCCTGAGGTATGGTGGGATCATAGAATGGGAAAACTTTCCTCTTGGCCTATTGGTTTTGCAATAAATAATTTTGTAGGGACATTTAGATTGTTGGTAATTTAAAGTTAAACACTTGTTCATCAAAGTTTTTTTACTCGCCCTAATACAACATACAATACTGTAATAATTGATAAGTAATATTTTAAGTGTGGTAAGATAGTAAGCATTTTTTAACCCTCCAACACCCATAATTAAAATAAAGTATTTTATTTTCCCCCCGTTTCTTTGGCATTCAAATAGTATAGAAATGAATTGTCATTCTTAAAAATTCCTGTGGCAAATAGAATTTACATGCTATTGGGACAATTTTGTGATCATTCTATTATATTGCACATTAAAAAAAAAAGTTTCTCTTAATGTTTTTTAAATATTTGTATCTGTGTAATAGAAGTTTTATGAATGTTTTCACTAACAGAACCAGTATATCCAAAATTACCTTCAGTCTTCAATTTTGAGAGATTGGGTGTCATTCTTAAACTGATCTGTGATTCTTGATCATACCACATTGATTTCAGTATCATTTTTAATACTAAATTCAATTTTCGGGATCACATTTCCAAGATTAGAAGTAAGGCTTTAAAGAATCGGTTTTGTCTAACATTTTACTTCAGACTTCGGCAATCCCTTCGTTATTTTTTTTTTTTTCCGAGGGTTTGCAACAGAGGTAAATCAACCCTCGGGGTGCCGGTGTTTTTGAAAAAAGCCCATATGTATGTCGGGCCACTGGATTCAAACCTGGGACCTTCACCTTACAGTAATGAGCACGTGTCAACGTCTAAATCGTTGCGGCACCCTTTGCTATTAAAAAGTTATACCAGTCATTGGTCTGCAGACATGTTGAATATGCTTGTATTTTCTGGGATCCATTTCTTAAAACTGAGATTAATCTGGTTGAATCAGCCTATTAGATATATCCTTTAAATTTGGAGTACCTAATTACCTTGTCTACGTTGGCAGGTTTCTTTCCACAGGGCTTCATGTTTATCAGACAGACATGTTGCCTTGTTCTTTATGGAAAAAGATAATTCTCAGATAATAGAAAATTATTTTCAGGTCTCCTCTTTGGAGATTCTCTCAACTTTTGGCCTGCGAGTTCCTCAATTACTTTTGAAAGGGATTTTTGTCCCACTAGTTATGTGAGGCATTACACACCTAGGAAACTATTAGGTATTGACCTGCAGACTGTGATTTTTTCTCATACTATTTATGCTTTTATAAAGATCTAAAAAAAAAGCTTAATGGCTTATCTGTTTTTCTATAGATATACTTTTAACGTTCTTTTGTTTTTATCATATTATTTTGATTATATATCTTGTTAGTTTTATATTAATTATTTTATCTTATACTTTTGATTATACACTGTAAGCTTATGACTGCCCTTTTTTGGGTCTTATCTGTGGAGCTTAATTGTAAGTAAATAAATAAAAAATTTACAGTGGCACCAAACATATATTAGAACATACTTGTAGTTTCTAAAATAGTTGATATATTACTACCATTATAAGTCTTTTATGGAAGATAAACCTGGTTATTTACAAACCACATTATTATTACTCTAATGTCGCCTGCATTTCACTTGCAACTTATGAAACATAAAAGGCTTATTTTGACTTCTTAGCTTTTTATAAAACATTCAAAATTTAGTCCAAACGGAAATAACATAATTATTTGTGTCAATATTGGGTCAAAAAGAGAACAACTTGAACAGAGAGAACGAGGCATGATAAAATTGAAATGAAATGCACTCAAAGACAAAAATAACATTTGAATTTAGTTGTTTGTTTCAAACTAGATGTACGTATTATTATGGTTATATTAATTATACAATAGTCATTTTAAAGTAAATCAGTTGAGATCATGAGTTTTAATAAAAATTATTTAATTATGATGGTTTGAAAGAAAATGCACCAGCACACCAGAAAACCATTTAGTGATAGATTAAACTTGTCTAACAAGTTTTTTTTTTGGGGGGGGGGCATTCATGAGTATTTCGGGTTCTACGTGGGGATGCTGGATTCAAACCCGGGGCCTGGACCTTACAGTGAAGGGTTACTTTTAAATTCAAAAAGATGAATTTGAAGTTAAAAAGGGTTTATTTGACATTAAAAAGAATTATGAAGTTATAAAGGGTTAATTAAATGGCAAAAATCTATATAGCAAGCTTAAGTCTTTAATTTTTTTAAAATTCTGATTTTTTTAAATGTCACGTGCTGGAGGGTTAAGACCCCCCTTTTCTCAATTATCAGACAGCGCAATAATATTAAACAAAATTAAGCATAATAAAGTTTTAATGATTAGTCAGAGATCATAAGATGCAGTCTGGTGGGACGTAGGTTTTAGAAAACATTTTCTTTATTGTGCCAACGTTTCGATCTTTATTGAGATCATCTTCAGGGGCACTCTCAACACACAAGAATGACACATCTAAACGGAAAACAAACACTTTGAGCCCTGAAGATGATCTCAATAAAGATCGAAACGTTGGCACGATAAAATACAATGTTTTTCTAAAACCAACGTCACACCAGACCGCATCTCACAATCTCTGAATAATCATTGACTAACGGTCACTAAAGACCACGCATAAAATTTTAATTTGTCACGTTGTTGTGCTTCCATTCTTTACCATACATTTTTTCTCCAAAGTTTTATCAACTTACCTCTCAATCCCATTGAAAAACTAAATGATTTGAATTAATGAAAATTTCTAAACTAGCATAACAATGTGCAAATTGGAAGGATTACAGTGATTACTAATGCAAAAATATAGGGACTTATGATACATCATTTGTGCTGGATTTGATGTCAGTGTACGTACTGTGCTTGGGTCACCAGAGAGTCCGGGGCATTGCTTGCACGAAAAAACAGACAAAAAAACTTAAACATGCTTTTTACATGCAATTATAAAGAGGAAACTTTTAAACACTTATCCTTCTTAATTTTTGACTTAATTTTTGTCACTATAAATCATGCTATCTTTTTAACTGTTTTCATTATAAAAATAAAAACTTGTGTCTTGAAAAAGCTCAAGAAAGTAAATGATTCTCATATTTTTTCAGAGCTTTTGTTTATTTATTATTTCAGAAAATAATGTCAGTGCTTTTTAAATTTATTATCTGAAAATGGAAAAGTGAACATATGTGTTTTTAACAGATTTTAAAACAAAAGTAAATAAGCATACATATTTTTAATATTATGAATATAAATTGGCAAAATAAAATGATTTGGTGTAAATATAATAAAAGCTTTTACCTTAGCCAATGAGTTTATTAAACCATCCTAAGAAATAGTAAACAATCGTAAATTAAAACTGTCCAATAAATTACAAACTTAACCTTAATTTTGTAATTTTTTTCTTATTGGAATTTGACACCAGCAATGTTGAGTGTATTTACACAAAATAAGTAAGAGATTTGTCTGTGTTTTGAAAAATAATGTACAACATCGACTACTTCTAAATAGAGACATGCAAAACAGCAGATCTTTTCTGACTTAATTATTAGTATTTTTGAAAAGGAGACAATCAAAAAGGGCAAGAAAGATCATCTAATCAAGAATCAGTAGGAAAAACATTCATATAAAAAATGAATATTGAGAACTAAATATATTATCAATTAGAAGTAAAATAAAAATGAGAAAAAACTTACTGAAGGGCTTTTTGGCAGTCCAACCCTTTGGCCGCAGGCGGTCAGCAGGTTGACAAGTGATTCTCTCACTTTACCCTGGAGGAGAAGAAAATGTTTACAACGAAAGTGTGATATTTCAAATTAATTACCTGTGAAATCCAAGGCCTTTTCCATCCTGATGTGTTTGGGTTATCAGCAAGTGATAATGAAACTGACCTTCTTGAAGATATGTTTGGATCACTGTCTTCTTTTTTGTTTTTTGCCTTTTTGCCAATGAGCGGAGTTTCAGAAACATCAAATGTAAAATCCATCGTCCTACCTTTAATTAATCATAATCACAAGTGTGATGATTAATTTATATCTATATATATTGAATACCTGGTAACTCCTTTTTAGAAAAGATTTCAGTATCGGTGAAGGATAGATGGGGTGACGGCTCATAGTGCGTATGATGAGTTGGCATCGGTGCAGCAACTAATGTTGAAGATCTTTTGACGACTAGTTTTAGTATTTTTAAAGCTTCTTTCCAATGCATTCCCTATGTACCAAATAAATTTAAAAATCTTTATTAAGCCTTTAAACATAATTTTACTTTGAGTTTTTTATATGATGTGTTTTCTATTGTATTTGAATATTTTAAATTATGTTATGTCGAAATTGATGTCTACAGGAACTACCGATCATTTTCTACCTATTTTTGCTGAGTTGATTTGTCAGATGTGTATCGGCATTTTAACATCCTCAGCATTGGAAATGGGTGAATTTTGAGAAGTCAAAATTTTTTTTATGGATGGTTAAAAACCAAAATACACCCCGCTTCAGCAAGGAAAGGCAAACCAAAATGATCGATAACGATTAAATCACAAAAGTATTGTGTTTTCTCTCAACTTTTTCCTTTTTGAAAGTAACATTCGATTACTTCATAAAACTTTAAAATGAAAATAATAACTATATAACAAAACAGGTATACAACAAATGAAACTAGGCACTGTGTGCATTGCATAACTTGAATGTTGTCTTAGGTAGTAGGTCTCACCCAGAAATGGTAATTAAGAAAAAAGATAAAATAGTTTTACAGTTATTTATAACAAAAAGAGGAGCAAAAATTGCCACCCATGAGGGTTCAAAGTGTTTCAGGCAACCACATTCTATGTATTAATTTTTTTATTTTTATTTATTTGTAGCCTATACATACTTGTACATAATATAAATGTGATCACAATGTATATTGTTCACCGCTCGGTCATAGCAGTAACACTGATGCCAGCGCTGCCGAATTGGTGAAAGGAAATAATATTATAAGTATCTAGGATAGGGATTAGTCGTTTTAAGAGGAGCCTTTCAAGGATTTTGGACATTGTACGAAGAAGGCTGATGGGTCTGTAGGAGGGGAGGTTTATGAGCTTTAGGAATGAGGATAACGACGGATAATTTCCATAAGAGGGGATAATAAGTAGTTCGTAGGATGGCATTATATATGGTGGTTAAGAAGACTATGGCCTTTCGTGGTAGGTATCGGAGTATGGTGGAGGCGATTAGGTCATGCCCAGGAGATTTTCTATTTGAGGATTTGTGAATGTAATATTTTACTTCAGAAGGATGAAAAGGTTTGAGGGGGAGATGAAGTGGAAGTGGAATATTAAGATTATCCATTACATCTTGTGTATGAGAGGCATCGCTTATGTTTTCATGAGGAGTAAATGTGGATTCTAAATGGGCTGCAAATAGGTTTGATTTCTCTTTGTCATTCCTGACCCAGGATCCATCAGGTAGACGGATGGAGGAGTCAACTGCTTGATATTTTAATAAGGTTTTTGTAGCGGACCAGAGGGAGTTGTATTAATAGTATTTTTTTTTCCAATAAATAGTTTCATTGCAAACCAATATAGAATATTCCGATTGTATCATAAATGACACCTACCTCAATATACTTTGAAATTACGCGAAGAAGGTCAGCATAAAGAGCCTGAGCAGTTACAAGATTAAGGTCGACATAATGAAGCATGCAATGTATTATGCTTAAGACTGGTAGCTGCACCATAGTTGGGCCTTTTTCCAATACCTGAAAACATATTTCAGTAATGTCTTGAAACGATTAATATTGGCGGAACTTTACCTCGACCAAGAATGCCAACATATTTGGAGTCAGGTATGCGTACGTGTCGTTCAGGTATTTAACAACACATTTCGTCCACTGGAAACTTTCCTTGCTGAAAGTCCTCCTCGAGTAGAGAGTCATAACAGTTCCCAGATTTTCCAGTTTCTTCCCTTTCTCATTACTCACCTAATTGACAATTATTAGCATTTATTTGGTAATTCAATTGTTCTTATGATTCAAACTTACCTGAGCAATATTTTCTGCGGATAAAATACAAAGAGCATTTGCATCCTCGTAGTGAAGAAGCATGTATGGAAGAAGTGCTATGACAGTCATGGGGAATGCAAGGTTTTGCGTAGGGTCTATGACTGGGAGATGTAAAAGCGGGATGCAATGAACCAATATTCCAATCACTGGTTCATATGTCATTGCATTCGTGCAGCCCTGAATACCGAAATTTAAATCATTATACTAATTCTTGTTTATTTATGTTTTGGCTGTTTGTTTTTATTTATTTTTTTATTTAATACCTTTAATAAAAGAGCATGCAAGCCAGGAAAAGTGTTCCATTTCAGCTGAGATTGCAGTTTATCAACTTTATCCCGTGCGTCTGGCCTGTCGAGTGGAAGCCTGTGAAGTAGACGGTCCAAAAGCCTAAGAGCGAGGAGAAATTCATGCTCATAGTCAGACTGTAGGAGTGAAAGCGAGAGCCAGAACAGTTGAGCGAGAATCGTCATCTTGTCATCCTGAGTCGCAGAATCTCCAAGTAGTTTCAAAGATTGTGCCGATCTTGACCGACATAAATTTGTCGTGTATTTGCTTGCACTGCTGCACCTCGATTCCGGGTCTGGGATCAATCTAGACCTTATTTCCACTGTAAATCCAAAGAAGTTTTTAAAAAGCATTGTTTCAAGAATTAAAGTTTAGTTTCAGAGTTACTTTTATTTTCAACATTAGTTGACCCCGGAGCTCCTGGTTTTCTCATTCCGCTATAAGAAGACACTGAATAAGATGTGCTTCTCATATGATATGTGTTGAGAGGAGTGATTCCCGGGATGACAATACCAGCCCCCGGACTTCTCTTGCCACCTGCTGCTCCTTCCTTGTTATTCAGATTAGGCGTAGACTTAAAAATCTCCTTCATGAAGTCAAGAGGGCGAAAGTCGGACTCCAAAGAATCAATAGCAGCTTCAAGAGTCAACAGAAGCTCTGTTACATACCCCTGAAAGAAAAAATTCAATCATTTTGATAAATACTGACTAATTGTGATACTCACTTGCATGTCTTCTCCTTGCTCAGCTACAGTCTCAACGAGTCTTGATAAAATTTCAGATAGCATTCTTGAATTAATTGGCAAATGGAGGGATCTGAACAACTAAAAAGACAAATATAACAAAAATTTTTTCTTTTTTTTCACAATAGAGACTTACTTGAAGAGATCTTCCGGCATAATGCCTGGAAGAGCAAGATAGGCCAAGTTGCAAAGCGATCTGTCCCCATCTTTCAGAGATATGAGCGTGCGGAAGCGATTCTCGGAATATTCGCAGAACATGTTGAAGGAATATGTCCATCTGTTCGACACTTCGCACAGACCACACTTTGGCTGTAATGTCCTCGTAATTCCAAATCACTTGATTCTGCCTGTGAGAAAATGTGTATTTATTCACAATTTCGAGATAATTTGAATTTTGTATAAAAACAACTCAACAATTATGTGGATTAGACATAAATTCAGGGGAAATTTCACATGCCACATTCCTTAAGAGCAATTGAATCCCCTATTCTGTATTTATAGCCCACCAATGAGTCCCAAATTCATCAATTATTAGGCCTGCTTAGTGGTTGAATTTTGTCTGCAGATAGTTTTATGGCCAAAAGCATTTTCTCTTGGAGAGAAGTAAAGCATTGCAGTCTGTTAAACATTGAGTTGAGTCTCTTCTATCACTTTCCCATTAGGAATCCTCCAAGGATTCCTCTTCTTTATTTCTGTCTGTCAAATCCCCCCCCCCCCAAGGAGATTTGTAGGTCCTCACATTCATTTTGTCTACTTTCCTGAGATGCTCGTTGATGGTATGAATCTCTACCACAAAAGGATTCAAGACCTATCAGCAGTATAGCAGGCCCATTCCTTACAAGGGTATCCACTTCTTTGTTGCTCTCTGTGTGTCCTGGGACCCAGTAGAGAGTAATTTCAATTCAGCACCATTCTTGAGTTAATGATATTTGTGTTTAAAGATCTAAGGGCTGCCTGGCATCTATCTGATAAGATAGATTTTATATTCTCATGATGGGCTCCGAATATTTGGCTTTCAAGCCCCTGTATGCTCTAGCACCCTCGGTGGACCAACAAATATTGTCTTCCATGAATGAAAGTTTTCCTTTTTACTCCTTGTTTTGGTACTTGTGTTTGTCATGTCCTTAGAAGACACAAGTATCAAATATTTTCTCATTAGGGCGTCGTCTTTCCATTTAAGATTTAATTTCGAGGTTCTTTTTTTTGTTGATGTAAAGCATAATTTTCATTATTGTCCTTATTATCATTTGGTAGTGGAGAATTAGTCTCAATATTTTCTCCATACCAGCTGAGGGCCATATTTTAATGGTTCCAGTGATGATGCAAGCCTACATATTTTTGTGGGCTCTATGTGCACTGTACATCTAAATAATATTTATTTATTTACCGGCAATAGCACATAGGATTATTGGCATATATGGATGTATTGAGCGAGCGAGAGAGAGAGAGAAAAAAGAGAGAGAGAGAGAGAGAGAGAGAGAGAGAGAGAAGAGAGAGAGAGAGAGAGAGAGAGAGAGACATAGAGAGAGAATAAACACTGATCAAATAAGGAACAAAATTGCCATGTTTAATTTTTAGACTTACCACAAAACATTACCAATTATAATTTTAAAAATTGGGCAAAATTTTAAACACAGAACCAAAAATATTGAGTTGTTCATAGTGTCTTAATTTAATTTAATGTTTAATTATTCAGAAATCATGAGATGCGGCCTGGTGTGACGTAGGTTTTAGAAAAACATTTTCTTTATCGTGCCAACGTTTCGATCTTTATTGAGATCATCTTCAGGCCTCAAAGTGTTTGTCTTCTGTGTAAGTGTGCCATTCTTGCGTGATGTCGAGAGTGCCATTAATGTTTAATAATTTCTTTTAAAAAAGGAACTCAATAAATTATACACAATTTTTTCAAAATGAAAAACATGAAATGTTCCAGTCCATGGAATTTTTTTTCACCTTTGCAATTCGTGTCGAGAGACTTGGTTGTAGAACTCCTTCAACCTGATGATGAGCTGAAAGCTAGAAATCCGGATCGTTGCAAAACAACTTACTGTGAGTAGGAACTATTTTTTAATCTTTTTAAAAAGGAATGAAAAATTGATGTGCTACCGTGACTTCAATCGCCCATGCCACAAACTTCCCATTTCGACTCCCCGTTTTATTCCAATTGGTTCGATTCCCACCTGTGACGCAAATTTTTCATGTCGAAAAAATTGTATATAATTAATTGAGTAATTATATAATTAAGCATAAGCTGATAAAAATAATTATAAGTTAGTATTAAAAGGAACAATCTTAACATGAAATGTTCCAGTCCATGGTTAATTATTAATAAAATAAATTTAAATTTATTTAAGACTTATTTGAGTACTTTTTGATTAAATTACACTTAAACGGATTACCTAGATGCTATGAAATCTATAAGTGACTTTATTACTTCTTGCAAAGTCATGGTAGGCAATGGATTAGCAGGGGGACACCAAGTATTGTTTTCTTCGGCAACAACTATAACTGGTGTCGCTGCTGTCTGGTTCTCGGCTAAAATGAATACACAAACATTTTTAAAAAAAATTTATTCATTTTATCATTATTTTTTTATATTTTGCTATTCATACTTGAAGGTAAGGCGGCTGTGGTTAAAGGGACTGAAGTATTTTGGACATTTTGTTCCCCAGGAGTTTCGAGATAGCTGTCAAACTCAGGGTCAGCCTCTATTAAAATGAAATTTAATTTGATCAAAAACATCAGCTGAAATTTATTTATTCAGACACAACTCATTAAAACACTCAACATGAACACAAGGTAAAAGGCCTGATTCCAAGAAATCACACTAAAAATAGGTAGGTAATAAATTAATTTAAAAAAATAAAATGTTAGTACTAACCGGTGAAGTTGTGACTAGGTACAGGGACAGGAGGCACGGTCAAACCCAACTCAAGCTGCAAAGTTTTCCTATTCAGGAGAATTTGTGCAACTGTCAAATGATCATTGTGAACTGATAAAACTATGAGGAGATTTAGTAACAGTTGCTTGCAGTGTTGGTGTACGAGGTTTCGAGAATGATCTAAGCCGAGGAATAGTATGTGAAGCATGAGAGGGAGGTGAATTGACCAATCCACATGCGGTACATCGACAACCACATCTGTCAGTAGCATCACAGCAACATTACACCTATGGACATCCAGGTAATTAATTAATTATTTACGCTAGCAAATAAACATGTTGTTAGAAACATTTAAAAAATTATATTTCAACATTGTTTAAAAAATAAACTGTAAAACCTGAAAAAAAATTTAGATTATGTGTTAGTACAAAATATGATACAGACAATGACAAAATATAATGAGCTCTGCTTATTTTTTTTCCAGCAAAATAAGTTTCAAACAGTGTCCCACTGTGTGGATTTAGACAATGACAGTGGGAAGAAAGTGCTTGTCAGCGTCTCGATCTGCCATATCAATAAATGTGATGGATGCGACCCATCAGGAGAGAAAGGTGTCCACAAGACATCTTGTGCATGGAACATACTGACAAATGAGACCTGCCAGGTGCACGAGGTCAACTCCAAAGGTTGCCCTATCCACGATACCATTTTAAATAGAGAACATGGCATTCAAATTGAGAAGGATCAACAAAACAATGAAACTTCACTTGACAGTGTTACCACTTGTGCGCAGGAAGATGGTAAAAACTCCGGCACGACTGTACACGAAAGCCAGACAAACGAACAACAAGGAATGGTGAGTAATGTATCGGACGATAGTGGGCCTGCGATTAACCTAAACCTGAACATAGAACCTGGTGAAGAAAAGGAAGTAGCTAAAAGTGATAAAAAATCCAGTACAGATCCACCGGATCCACCAAAAGACGATGGTGGAAGTGGAGGTGGCCCAGTATTTGTACAACCAGATGAGCTGCTGAGTCCAGACATACCTTTACAGGATGCGAGCAATGTTCAGAACATGGTGTCAAAACCGGGTTTGACAGAATCATTAACAGTTCATAATTTGACTCCTGTAAATATAGGAACATCCCTTAACTTCGAACAAATCCAAAAGCACAGTGGAAGTACAACTTGTTCCTACGTGTATGTTGATAAATTAGGAGAAAATCTATCAACGAGGTTGCCAAATATAATAACAGAAGCCTTAGCATCGTCAGCCCTACACCTAAAGGATGATGCTAGCATTCCAGAATGTTTGTACGAGCCATATCAAAAAATAACAGCTCTAACATTAGAGAAAATACAACAGCTTAAAAATAAAATATATCAATCTGCAGACCCATCAGCCCAGGTCAGTACAGATATTTACAAGGTACAGGATGGAAAGGCAATTTATATTGCAGGAAAAGCGAGTCAAAGCGCTAAAACTGTTAATAGCGAAGAACGAGACAGTTTTCTATTTAGACCAGAAAATATGATAACTATTGAAAATCCCAATATAGAGTACTCAGAAGAAAATATGGATGTGGCATTTGAAGAAATTGATGAGGGTATACAGAGATGTCCTGTAGATGAAAATGTAGCTAGCAATATTTCAAACCAAGATGCTGAAGTGATGCAAGATGTTTGCAATTCAAAAACAACATATGAATGTTGCTGTTCCAATGGTCCCACTCCTGTTGAAAATGTAGTAACGGATCATGTAACAAAAGATTCATCTAAAAGTGAAGAATCTGTAAATGCAAAAACTACAGATATATTAATTGACCGATTAAGTGAAATATCAAACACAAACAGTGTCATGAATGAATTAAAAAGGCCAAAAAAGATGATTGCAGCAGAGTTCCAAAACCCACTCCCCCTTTTTAACGTAAGCAACAGACAATATGAACATTATATCGAATCACTTTCCAATGAGAAAAAAATGATCACTTCATCCACGCTGTTAGAGGTAAACAACTTGAACAACGAGCATATTGACATATTGACAACACACAATACATATAGGGATTCTGATGCTGAAGAGCATTCATTTTTAAAAAGTATCGGGCAAACGGTTGATAATGGTAAAATGAATTCATGTAACTGTGTAAAAAACAAATTTCACTCTTGCGGTCATTCAAAAAACTTAAATTTTCAAGAAGAACTTGTAAGCCAAATGATACAGACTGATGAGGTGAAGTCGAAACATACTGATGGAGAAGAGGACGAACAAGACGAGGAGGAATTAAGAGCAGTTAATACGCTAGCGAAAAAGGAACTATCAGATGAAAATTACAAGCTGCTATCACATATCATTGAAAAAGTTAAGCAAAATGCTGCTGAGATATCGAGTGTTTTAAAATCTCATAATATGCGGGTTGATTCAGAACAAGAATTTTTGCCAATTAATGTGGAAAGCCCTAAAAAACATAACAGTGTTCCGAACAACTATTCAGGAAGGGTGTCAAGGCAAAGGTTTAAGAAGAAGCCACTGATATACGGGAGTAAGCTTGTGCTCTCTCCAGAAATACCCAACGAATACTTAAACGAAGAAATGCGAATTTTGGAACAGCTGAAAGGAGAACGGCTCCCTGACTTGAAGGACCACTCGTTTTTTTCACCAGGAAAGATGTCTTCCATATATGTCAATCTGTACAAAGATATCATTCGTAACAGCTCATTCCTAAAATCTTTAATTCCTCCTATATCAAGCAACGGTCTCTTCAGCGATGCAGTGGAGTGTCATTTAAATGAACAGAAGCGCTCATTGATTCCTTGGCTTATAAGCTTATTTATTCCGACTTGTGAATGTACAACCAGCAAAGATAAAAAAATCCCTTGAGTAAGTACATTTAACTTGATGTGGTTTAAAAAAAATAATAAATATTTTTTGGAATAAAGGCTCTTTCGTAAACTGTGCTTAATTTTGTAATAAATTTTAATTTATAAGTTTATAAACTAAATTTTTTAAATATAAGTTTGATTGTTTCAAATCATTTTGATCCTCCTATCCATGTCCAAAGCAGAGAGAGTAGACAGATCAAAATGACCTAAGTTCATCACCCTGCAGTCATGAAGAACTCTTGCGATTTTCCTTCTTACCTGTGGAAGCCAGTACTCGGCTGGGAACTGTCTGGCAGGTATTCAGTCAAAGGTGCAAAATAACCTCCGTATTCCGGCATTGGCAGTGGGTGCGGCTGAGGAACGTCGTATTTTGTGTGTTCCTCTGGTACAGTTGAAACAGACTGCAACTTAAGACAGTCGGGTTAAATTTGAACAATATTTTGATAATTTTTCTCCATACCTCATTGTCAATGTTTGGTGAAACGACCTCTTCAAGCAAGCCTGGAGGCCCACTCGCTGTTCGTATTTTATCAGGACCTCTTGGAGGTGTAAACCCATAAGTAATAAGCGTATCTGATTTACAACTGGAAAAAAATCAACTATATCATAATAATTTGCTTGCCTGCGAAAACTGCCCAAAACTTAGATCCTTCAGAGAGCGGGTTAAAAATAAGTACTCTGTTCAATAGATTTGTATACTAAGACAAGGCTTGTGCAAAAAAATCATTAAAGGACAAACAAAGAAACTAATAGTAGAACTTCTAAAAATAGTTTGTGTTAGGTCTTAGGCTGACTGGACACTGCAAACTCCAGAATCATTCGCATGGACTTGGAGCAGCAGCAGCAGTGTTGGGCAAAAATTAGTCATGTCTAATGATTAATGATTGATCACTCAGACCGTTAGTCATGATTGGTAGTAAGTGACTAATTTAGTCATTAGTCGCCATATGTGATTGATGGCTAAATTAGTCATGACTAGTAATTAAATACGTGGCATGACTAATTTAGTCACAATATAGTTAGTCATGACTAAATTTCGATAAATCATGTTCAAATGGGTGCTCAAAAAATGAAAAATACATTCATCACTTTAAAAAAAATTTCTAACAAATCTATTTCATCAAAACGAAAATCCTTCAACACCTTAATCAATCTTCCAATTATAAGTAAAACTCCGTCGTTATGAAAAGCCAAAAAATGATGATAATGATAATAAAATAGAATAAAAAAATCCTAGAACAAGCTTCGCTTTGAAAAGTAAATGTGTTTACATAACCGATCAATGGAAAAAATATTTCTTTGAATTAAAATTTATTCCACTTAAAAGGAGAGATTTCTATATTATTTGGAAAATACACCATCTAGGGGTCTTGATTGTAATAAAATAGATATGTAGAATAATTATTTAACTTTGATTTTCGTTTATGATAACAATTTTTGAAGGTTGGCCTTTAGCACGACTCTCATCTCAAAATTTTTATCCAGAGTCTGTTGGATTTTGGTAAGTTGGTCATTGTAGCCACAGAGTTGGGCAAAATCTAACTAATTCAATCATGATTAAGAATTTTGATTGAAGTTTAATCATGATTGAATTAGCCATGAGTAAATTAATCATTATATGATTTAATCATAATGAATTCAATCATGAGGTATGACTAAATCATATAATGATTAATTTACTCATGGCTAATTCAATCATGATTAAACTTCAATCAAAATTCTTAATCATGATTGAATTAGTTAGATTTTGCCCAACTCTGAGCAGTAGAAACAAGCCTGTGCAGATTTGCTAGGAAGAAGAAACAACCCATGCTCTATTGGTGCAAAAGCTTATGCAGGCTGAGATTCCTATTCCTGGGAGGGAAAAGCCAAGGAATAAAAATAATTGGTAAAATTTTAAAAGATTGCAAAATAGGCCAATTTGGTCACAGTGCACAAGGTCATAAAGGAAGCAAACCCATTATATTTAACAAGTCAAACTTACGTTCCTTTAGCAGGATCTTCCCCGCTGTGCCGTTTGGTGTGAATGGTCCCTCTTTCAGTCGTGTCCCTTGCTGCTTCTGCCTGTCCTGGATCCGAATGGCTGGAGGCTTTACGCATACTCGTCAACCTGTAAAACGGTGGCGTTTCTGTCCTCTCTATAAGCCAGTTCAGAGTCTCAACAGTGTGGAGTTCTGTTATCATTTCATCGAGCAGTCTATCTGTTTTGGCTCTGCACAAATACACGACGACTCTTTTCGCCTAAAATTAAAATTTTCAATAGAAGTACGGAGGAGTTGTTGGTCGTTACATACATATTGTAGAAGTTCATTCGGTGCCATCCCGGATATGATAAGTAAGTATCTGATGATTACTTTGAGATTGTTTGGCCAACATGTAGCAAGAGTTGCCCAAACCTCTTCTATCTCCTTGGCATGTTGGTCAGCAAACTGAAAAAAAAATTCCAATTATTTTTTTGAATTCACAATTAAAAGAAAAAGTTTTAATTTTACCTTTGCAGTAATGTAAAAGAGATTGTTAAGTACCATCTCTGTCGCCTCGACTGAGCCCCAGCCTTCTCTTCTTATGCTCATCCTACTATCACTGGTACAATACTATAAAAAAATGAACAATATTTTAAAAATTCACAGTGCAATCTGAAAACTAGAAAGTTATGTTAACAGAAAGTAAAGTTAAGCTGACTTGAATAAAGGATAGCTAATAGATTCAGGGACTTGAATTAAGTTCATTATTTCAATCACAACTTCATTATTCAGCTGAACTTGTTTACTTCTTGTTTACTTGTTTTCAAAATTGTGTAATTTGATTATTCAGAAATCATGAGATGCGGTCTGGTGTGATGTAGGTTTCAGAAAAATATTTTCTTTATCGTGCCAACATTTCAATCTTTATTGAGATCATCCTCAGGGCCTGGGATTTACAAACATTGTTTAAATTTAACAAATAGCTCTGAAGATGATCTCAATCACGATTTCTGAATAATCATCGACAAACGGTCACTAATCACCACACATTGTGTAATTTGTTCATTAAAAATTTATTTTAAAAAATCAACCTGGAAGTAACGTAAAGGGTTTGGTGGAGGTACGTTCGGATCGACTAATTCCATGTTAAACAGCCAAGGAAGTAAGTATCCAAGAAGAAGCTGCCGGACTTCAGGCCGAGCTGTCTGGAACCGATGTGTTATTTCTGGAAAAAAATGATTTTCCTTAAAGACACTGTCTTCAATTTTGAATGTTTGATTTATTTTTTATTAGTATTCATAATTTCATCTCAACCAAGACTTAGATTAGAAGAATAATTAATTGAAAGTATTTATGGTGTTTTGACATTTGCGCTATTCTTGACTACTAATCTAACTTACAGCATCTTTCTAATCTAAATATTGTGCATACCTCATTATAATACATTATAATAAATATTGGGTTGTCCGGAAAATAATGCAGGATTTTAAGTTTTCATTAAAAAAAATCTATATAAAATATTCTGTTTACGTTTACAGGATTACTCATTTGTATGAATGTCAACACTTATTAATCCTCTTCCAAATGATATTGTTTGTTTACCTCTGTAGCATTCCGCTACTTGGAAATAATTCAGTCATCCTTATAATGTCAAAGCGAGAATTTCGTACGATTTTCTTTTACGAGTTTAAACTCGGCCGAAGCGGAGCCCAAACGGCTAGAAACATTAACCAAGTCTGGGGCGAGGGTTGTGTTAATGAGTGCACTGTGCAAAGGTGGTTTAAAAAATTTCGGGAGGGAGATTTCAGCCTTGAAGATGAAGAAGGTCGTGGAAGGCCTTCCTCTCTTAATGATGATGTTCTGCGATCAGTGGTGGAAGAAAACCCCAAAACAACTGTTCGAGAACTTGCAGAGCAACTCAAAGTCAGTAAAACGACCGTCGCTGACCACCTCAAGGCGATTGGAAAAGTGAAAAAACTCGAAAATTGGGTTCCACACTCATTAAACGATCGCCAAAAAAATCAGCGCTTTGATGTTTGTGCATCACTTCTTTGTCGAAACAAAAATGACCCATTTCTGGCCAGAATTGTTACATGTGACGAAAAGTGGATTCTGGACAGTGGCTCGACAAAGGAGAAGCTCCAATACATTTTCCAAAGCCCCCAACTCATCAAAAAAAGGTAATGGTTACGGTATGGTGGGCTTCATTTGGTTTAATACACTACAGCTTCTTAAATCCTGGCGAAACCATCAATGCTGAATCATACTGTAACCAAATTAATACCATGCATCAGAAATTGGCAGTAATGAAGCCCTCTTTGGTCAATCGGAAAGGGCCCATTTTGTTGCATGACAACGCTCGACCACATGTGTCACGTGTAACGTCACAAAAATTATTGGAGCTTGGCTATGAAACTTTGCCTCACCCACCCTACTCTCCGGACCTCTCGCCTACTGACTACCATTTTTTTAGACACCTGGACCACTACTTACAACACATAATATTCAAAAATCAAACGGAACTGGAAAATGCATTTATTGACTTTATCAATTCTAAAAATTCTGAATTCTACTCAGACGGAATTAATAAGTTACCAACACGTTGGGAGAAATGTATTGAGAGTATGGGAAATTATTTTGATTAAAGAACATTGCTTTAAAGTAACTAGTTTCTTTTTTTTTGTTTAATACCAAAATCCTGCATTATTTTCCGGACAACCCAATATATATATACAAACAGGGTTTTATAGGGTTAAATGTCAGTATTGCCATGTTGGATTCGCTAAATAAAATGTAGTTCCGTACCTCCAGAATACGGTTTCTATCTTTCTATCTTGAGATATTAATTTTAGTCGATTTCCCTTCCTTCTTTCCCTCATCTCGTTGCACTTTATTTCAATTTTCTCTATGAGCTTATCCCTCATTTCGATGGGTGTGCTATACACTGCACTTTTAGAGTTCATCATATGAAAAAATCTAATGGGGTCAAATCAAGGCTCCTCGCTGGCCATACCATGAGAAGAATATCTCAGTTTTGTTACCAACTAATAAATGGTTTTATTAAAAGTATGACATGTACAATGTTCTTGAGTTCCTGTTCTCCTTGGGTTCCATATCGTGATTTTCAACCTTGCAAAAAAGATTTTTACTAAGAAAAGTTATAAAAATGTAAAAGTGAGTATGTCCTTGGAATACTTATAAAAAAGGCAATGTTGGTGAAATCCCTGAAAATTCTGATGGAAAAGTGAGATGGAAATACTCACAAGCCACAATTGAGTATTTTAAGAAAATGAGTTTTGCCATTTGTCATTCTTTAAGCGGCCACTGTGTATTCAGAAGGGTGAATTTTTCAACGGAAATGTTATCTTGTTGAAAATTTAATGTAGTTTACGAAATAAATGTCAGATTTGTATTTTAATACGACTAAAGTTAAGAAATTAGGATTTTAAGTGAAAAAACTCACACTAATGTTAATATCTTAGTTTCATAAAATCACAAAAATATCTTAGGCAAGAGTCAAGATAGAAACCTTGTTCTGGTGGCACTGAACTACATTTTACTTAGTGAATCCAACATGGCAGTATTGACATTTTACACTGTAAAATCCTATATATAATACATAATATTATATACAGGGTGTCATTTTTTGACGCACCATTGGAAAATTAACATGGGTGCGTTTAAATCTGATTCAAGGCTTATTTCCTTTGATTAATACGTTAATAAAAGAAAGTGAGTCAATTTTCGGTGCACCGTAGGAAAATCAACGTTGGTGCGTCTAATTATGACATTTTATTTTGTTAGTCTCCTACCAAAAAATAGGCGTTTCGACACACCATTCGTTACAAATTAGTTTTAGTAGGTTGGAATGAAAATAAACAAAACCAATATTATTAAAACATTCAAACACAATGTAAAAATTAAAAAAAAAAATTCTTCACAAATAATTTAATTAAGGTTTAAGAGTATTTTTGTCTGGTAAAGTAAAAAATTAAATAAATGTAACAATCTTCTTTTTTCTGGTAAAGTAAAAAAATTACATAAATGTAACAATCTGTGTTGCAGCAAATGGAGGTCTGTTCGAACAATTATTATAATGATTTTGAACATTTTTGGTTTGCTAACAAAGGAGATTGTTACATTTATTTAATTTTTTTACTTTACCAGAAAAAAGGAGATTGTTACATTTATGTAATTTTTTTACTTTACCAGAAAAAAGAAGATTGTTACATTTATTTAATTTTTTTACTTTACCAGACAAAAATACTCTTAAACCTTAATCAAATTATTTGTGAAGAATTTTTTTTTTTTAATTTTTACATTGTGTTTGAATAATGTTTTAATAATATTGGTTTTGTTTATTTTCCTTCCAACCTACTAAAACTAATTTGTAATGAATAGTGCATCGCAAAGTGACTCGTCTATTTTTTTTGTACAAGACTAACAAAATAAAATGTGCCGAGTCATAATTAGACGCACCCATGTTGATTTTCCAATGGTGCACCGAAAATTGACTCACTTTCTTTTATTAACGTATTAATCAAAGGAAATAAGCCTCGAGTCAGATTTAAACGCACCCATGTTAATTTTCCAATGGTGCATCAAAAAATGACTCACCCTGTATACATTAGATTAGTAAGTAAATGAGATGCGCAAAATATTTAGATTTTCTTATTTAATGTTGCATTATTTTTAATATATATATGAAAAAGCTATTGGAATAACAAAGCACTACAGCTATATTTACAAACGAAATTGAGTGTTACATGTAATTGCTTTCCCCCCAGACCAGCTCACAGCAGTTAAGTTCTTAAGTAACACCAAGGGACTTGTAATTGATTTTAGCTACTTTGATACAATCCACTTTAAGTTTACTTTGCAAGCAGTTTGGTTTAGTAATCGGTGATAGGTTTGCAATATATCAAGTGAAAGATAAAGCTCATTTGAAATTGCATAACAATTTTTTCTTCATTAAAAACATTAATAGCCGTTTACTAGGTTAAGTGGATCATTTTTTAAAAAAATATTTTTCTATTTATTATGTTTTTTGATATCTACAGCGCAAAGCCTCAACGGACAGAATGTAATCTGGACAAATTATAATCTTCAGGTACTATTTACTCTAAAGATAAACTTTACGAGCAGTATTAATGAGAAGGTTGAAAGGGCAAAACAGTCATCAGACTTTCATTTCCATGAATGCTGAATGCTCCTCTTGAAGTTTTACTCATACTAAAAATCTGCGGAAGAAATTTTTAAAGCTGGTGGAATGAGAATGAATGAGGTACGAGGTAGAAAGCTTAGTGGTTAAGTTTGCTATCAAATAATATGCAAAAAAATATGATGTGGATTTCCAAAAAATGGTAGTATCATTTATTTAAAATTTTCTCTCACAGACAAGGATTTGCTCCTTTCTAAATATCTTCTACCCTTTTCTCATATTCATTTACTACTACCATAGTGATCTGTAACATTATATCTTGAATAATGGACATTGTCAGTTTGGGACATTAATAATTAATTAATCACTTTTACCCTCTTTTGTCTCAAATTATAACCAACAATTATCCATTGTTTAAGAGATAATGTTACGGGTTATTATGCTAGTAGTAAATGAATAGGAGAAAAGAGTTAATTTTAATTACATTGTTGTGAAATTTCACTCTATGGTCAATGGGTGCAATAATAATATCAATATCACACAGTAAATGCCTTAATATATAATATTTTTGCACCCATTGCCCACAGAGAGAAATTTCACAACTATGAAATCAAAATTATACGTTATATGAGAAAGAAAACCATTTAAAAAAAGGTTATTTTATAATTTTCATGGCACAAAATTAACATATTTATAAACTAGAAGTAAAAGGACTAATACTTAGCTTTGGACTTTTTTTAAAGTTTTATTTAATAAAGCCAACACAACTACCCATTTTTCACTAACTTTACAATAACAAAATATTCATAAATTTAAATTCATCAATTGACAGTAATTAAAAATTATCCCTTAAGCAAATAATGATAATAGGTATGAAATATAACTAAAACATCCAGATTTTTTTATTCTTTCACTTGTACCAGGCAGATTTTCGTCTATTACTCAAGCTGCGCCTTTTGTAGTTTATTTTGTGTGACATTTTGAAGTACTCAATCTTCAGGTTAATCAAACACAGTCAAAGGTTCATAATTCATGGTGTGAATCTCTGTCTCATTGCCTGAAACCCTCATG